TTTGAGGGCACAGAGGAAGATGGGTCTTCTGAGGTCGATGGCCTTTCAACAGAGGATTCAGCAGCAGAAATTTGTGAAAAGCATGACTCTCAAACATCTCCAGCTATTTCAAATGAGAGCCAGAACATTGAAATAAATAATTCAGAAATTGAAACAAGTGTATGTATCAAAGCTGAACCAAATGAAACCGGTGAAATCTCTCAGGATGATGAAAAGTTATCATTTGATGGGGCCTTTGGCCCCTTTGCCACTAGAAGTTATGACGACGATTATGGTAACTTGTTCAGTGGGTACTCAAGTACTCTTTATGACGTTGCAATGGATGCTGTCACACAAAGCCTTCTATCATCCATAAGAAGTCCCCTTAACCCTAGAAAAAAATCTCCTGCTTGGAACCATTTTTTCATATCACCGCGTGATAGTACCAAAGCAATCTGTATGTACTGTATGAAAGAGTTCAGCAGGGGTAAAAATGAGAAAGACCTCAGTACTAGTTGTTTAATGAGGCATGTCCGAAGGGCTCATCCCACTGTTCTTCTGCAAGATGGCGAATCATTAAATAATTTGTCCAATTCCTCATCTTTAATACCTCCCAATATATCACCAAACAATGGAGACCTGTCTGTAAGCATCAAACAACCTACAGATAACCATACTCCACTGTCCTCCAGTCTAACTGAGGCCACAGACATAGTGTCCAAAGACTCTTTACAAAAGGTCAAACCAAAAGCAGAAAAGAGTGTCAAGAGTGACTCTAGTGCCGTTCCTTCCCCACATTCCTTTAACAACCATAATGACGATGCCACAGACTTGTTGACTGAATGCCCTGGATCAGCCCCTAAGAGCTCAAGTTCTCGGCGGCGCTCAGCAGTGTGGAAACACTTTTATTTATCCCCTGCTGACAGCTCAAAAGCAGTTTGTATTCACTGCATGAATGAGTTCAGTCGTGGCAAAAATGGGAAAGACTTGGGGACGAGCTGCCTTATTCGCCACATGTGGAGGGCCCATCGAGACATAGTTATTGAAGAAAACGGACAGGGCTCAAGCATTCCTCCGCCTTACACCACTCCGCCAACATTGCTGTCACGCACACAGGACTCCACAGAGGTCAAAAAGGAATTCCTCTGTATCTCACATCGCCCTGATACCATATCAGATGAAGTGCCCAATGATGACAGTGAGCACATGAGTCTTGAAGACGAGGCAAATGATTCTACATATCAATCTGGACAAGAGTCCTCACTTGATGCATCTTTTAGACTGAAAGGGGAAAATATACCTCTGTCATCCTCTCCAGAGGAACACACGGAGGGGCACAGCATATCCCAAGATCAGAGCTCAGTTTTTCAACAAAACAAGAAAATAATGAAACGGGTGAAATCAGAAGTATGGCATCATTTCATTGTCTCTCCTGTTGACCAACTCAAAGCTTTGTGTCGATATTGTCCCTGTGTGATAAGCCGTGGTAAACGAGGGGACTTTGGCACAAGCTGTTTAATGAGACATTTGATGCGACGGCATCCTGATGTTCTCAAAACCCAAAAAAGCACAAGTGACACAGTTTCCTCGCCTCGGTCACCTCATTCAACTCCTGCTGCAGAGGATGACATGACGACGAATGCAACGGACAGCCCTGTTGTTGAGAACAAACCCCACACCCTGCCTGTTTTCAGCAAAAAGACTTCAAAGCTATGGAATCACTTTTCTATTTCCACTGCGGACCCAACAAAGGTGGTCTGTTTGCACTGTAGCCGCACAATTAGCAGGGGCAAAAAGACAACCAATTTAGGCACTAGTTGCTTATTTAGGCACATGCAGAGATTTCATGGGCATGTGCTTGAAAATAATAGTAATATCTCAGGTGATGTGTCATCTGCTGAAATTCAAGTTAAGCAGGAGCTCATGGACATTTCTACTTATGGGGAGACTGCAGAAAAGTTCAGTGAATGCCACCCAGCTGCCAAAAAAATTACCAAACTCATTGCAGAAATGCTTGCACTGGATCTTCAGCCATCAACTGTAGTGGAAAATCTTGGCCTGAACCGGTTACTGGAATACCTCCAACCACAGTATTCTTTACCTTCCTCATCCTACTTCACCAGCACTGCAATCCCAGAAATGTATGAACGCGTGAAAGAAGTAGTTCTGACCCACCTAAAGGAGGCCGAAGGTGGAATCATCCATTTCACAACAAGTGTTTGGGTGAGCAGCCAAACTCAAGAGTACTTAATTCTTACAGCCCACTGGGTTACATTTGAGTCTCAAGTTCTGCCTCAGGGTCAAGATTTCCACTGCTCGGCCCTCCTTGGTGTTTCCTCAATTGACTGTGACTACAATATGCTGAATATACAGAAGCAGCTTGAATACCTTTGGGACACCTGGATTGGTTCCTCAGGCCTTAAAATTGGATTTACTGTAACGGATAATCAAACTATTGGAAGCATACTAGAGAGCAGTGACCACACCACCATGCAGTGTTTTGGTCATAACATAGACCTCATTGTTAACGAAGCCATAAAAAGTCAGAGGATGGTTCAGAACTTGCTTAGTATTGCCCGAAAAATCTGTGAAAGAGTGCATCGTTCTGCTAAAGCAAAGGAGAAGTTGGCAGAGCTGCAAAAAGCTTACCAGTTACCTGAAAACCAGCTGGTTCAGGATGTTCCCTCTAAGTGGAAAACATCATACTTCATGCTTGAGCGATTAGTAGAGCAAAAGAAAGCCATTGATGAGATGTCAATAGAGTGCAATTTCAGGGAACTGATAAGCTGTGACCAGTGGGAAGTCATGCAATCGGTCTGCAATGCTCTTAAGCCTTTTGAGGTAGCCTGCAGGGAGATGAGCAATCGCACTGCAACACTAGGTCAGGTCATTCCACTCATTCACATACTCAACCGAAAGATAGATATGCTTTTTGATGAGACAATGGGTATTGATAATATGCTGAAGTCTTTAAAGGAGGCAATGGTGACTAGAATGTCCCCTACACTTCATGACCCCAGGTACATATGGGCAACCATGTTGGACCCGAGGTATAAGACCTCCCTCTTTACTGAGGAAGAAGCAGAGCAGTGTAAGCATGACCTCATACAAGAGCTTGAGGTGTCTGCATCTAATTCTGTGGAGACTAAGCCACCACTGTCAAATGGATGTAGTGAAATACCAGCTTCATCAAACAGCTTGGCCTCAAACAAAGAGAACCTCTGGGCTCTTATGGATGACATTAGACAAAAAATCAAGCAAGAGGAGAGACCAAAATCATTGGAGCTTGCTGTGCTGGAGTATTTGGAGGAAGACATTCTTGACCAGAGTTGTGATCCTTTGGATTATTGGAACCTGAAGAAGTTACTGTGGCCTGACCTTGCCAAAGTAGCTGTACGCTATGTGGGTTGTCCACCCAGCATTGTACCAGCAGACACACTTTTTAGCACATCAAGTGTCAACTGTGCTCTGAATCAGTCCAGACCATTGCTAGAAAATCTTGAAGGACTTCTATTTTTAAAGGTCAACCTTCCTTTGATATATTTTCAGTACTGATGATCATGTATTTATATTTGCAAGGATGTTTCTTAGACTCTGAACTCTGATGACCACTCGAGTAACTTTTCTGAGAAGGCCTAATTAACCACAATTCATTTTACTGCGGTTCATTTTCAATACACAAGAGCATCTGAATATTTAACTGAATAAAAGACTGCTTTGAGTACTACTGTTGAGTACACTTGATAACTGGAGTCTTATTCCTGGTGAAAAGTGTTTTCAGGGAGGGAGGGTTAAATAGTTATAGGGGTAGTTATTGTTTGTTGCTGTACTGATTCTTTTTATTTTATAAAATGTATCTTTGTCTTCTCTCTCCTTGTGCCTTATACAAACTACTTCAGGTCAACATGCTGTAAATATTAATTGATGTGCAAAAGCAAGTCGTAGTCTTCTGATTTTAATGATTTTATAAAATTGAAACTACATGCTGAATACTGTTTTTATATAAATACATGGCCCAAAATAAATGCTGTGACTGAGAGATGTTTTAAATGTATTTTATTTAATTCTTTTATTGTGATTTTTGTGGCTCATGGTACTGTTAGAATTAGTTTTGTTTTTTTTATTATATTTTTTTTTTTGCTGATGATCGTTTTGTTTGTATTTGTTAAAAAAATGTACATAATGCTGTACTTTCAGGTTGAAATCTATTTGAAAATGTGTCTCAAGCACAAATCTTTTTTTATATAAATCTAAAGGGTTAAATTATGGGACATCAAGGAAGTGTACTGTACATTTTATAAATAATTTCCAAAATATAATTTGATAGAGGAAAAATTCAAACTGGAATAATTTAGTTTTTTTTTCTTTTGTGGTAATTTGTAAATAAAACTTTACACTTTGAAACCATGTTGCTTTTAAATTTATTGTTTCAGGTCATGTTTATTTTTTCTTGTATTTGTCACTGGATGCATATATTTTCCAAATCTGGATGATCTTGCTAAATCTATTCTAATTCTTATCCTAACTGGAAAAAAAAGTGGCAATGTAATAGGGGTATATTTTTGGCCTTTGTTGAAGAGGACATTAAAAATATATATTTTGTTTTGTCCATTCAATGGACGTAAATGGTCTCCAAAATGGTTTTGTTACTAACATGTCTTTTGTGTTCCGCTGAAGAAATTAATGCATGTTTGGAATGACACTAGGGCTAGTAAATGGGGAACTATTCCTATAAGTGTATTTATGAATCCAGATTTACATTATCATTCATGCAAAAGATTTTGAGAGAAACCACTGGGAGGCATAGTAATTGCATGTTTAAAAAAAAAAAAAACATTTTGAGCAGACAACTGCCATTGCAAAAACCTGCTTGAGCAGCCTCAATAAATATCAGAAAACCTTTTTTTTTAGGGTAGTTAAAAATGTGTGTATGAAATTAAGCCACAGTGAAGAGTGTTAAACTGCACTTACAATAAACTCAGGGAATGTTCCCCTCTCAGTAAAACAGACTAGCAACAGAATTCAGATAACCACTTTTGTAAACATTTATTGGTCTTTTGGAAACATTTTATTCAGTTTATTTGTCAATTTCACTCCCAAGCTTTCATTATCTAGGTTTGTTATTTAAATGTCTTTTTAGAAGCACAAGTCTGTCGTTTAGCTTGATTTTGAGAGGTGGAAAGTGGGACATCTCAAATGCAAGGCTTTGGTATCCTGGGATGAAGACCAAAGGGTTGTGAGAGTCTTTAAGCAGCAATATCTTGGTTGCATTCGCTTCCATTAACAGGTGTGTATACGTTTTCATAACTGGATCTTCAAGGATCAAATCCTCATTTTTGTCATATCTAGGAAATTAAAGGAAAAACATTGACAAATCACTCATTGCACATAATTATCAAATTATCTTTGATAGTTTGATGGTCACACACCTCCAGTTACTATTTAGCTCCAGAAACCGTGAGACTCCCGTTTGTGCAGCAAGTACATCGATGTGTAATGACACATCTGTGTGGCAAATATGCAACTTAATGAGATTGCTTGGATTGCAATAATAATTCAATATTAAATGAGAAATCAAAATCAACTTACTTGCTGTTGCTGGCATTAATCTATGTAGCTCCTGCATTGCTTTCCCTCCTGGGTAGTTGTGATGGGAAACATACAGAGAAACACTCGTGTATACTCCATTTAACATCAAATGTCCTACCACAACTATGGAGCCAATTTTATACATCCATGACTTGTGGTAGTTCTTTAAACTGTAACAAAAGAGAAAGTATAAACATTTGTTTAAATTAAATACTGTGAAGACATTTGCTCTTCCATTCCAAAAGAAGAGGGTCTGCTAATTATAACACATTAAGTACAGCAACAGCAGTGTAAATGGCTCAGATTTGGTTTTAATCACATGGTCAAGGAAAGGGAAAAAAATAAGATTGCAACCAATGATCTGGTCTCTCTTCTCGGTGCTCTGCTCCTCTATCTCTACCAGAGCTCTGCTCTTCCTGTAAAACTGGGTTTCAAGGCCAAATTGTACTTTTCCTAATAAATTTCTATTGCCAGAGGGTGGTGATATGAACAGTATATGAGCAAAATGCTGTCTTGGCATTATATACATATTCATTGTACCTTAGAATATCCTGTAATGCATGAAACGTCACTATATCAACATTTGCCAATAAAGGCATATTTATTGAAAATAAGCTGAATAAGCAGCGCAGGACCAATAAGAGCAAAACAGCCTAATCTAAAAAGAATATCAAGTAAAAGTAAAAACATTATAACACTGATGAATGTAAGAAAAACTGATGGATCATTTCAAATGCTTTCTTGGCAGAAGAAAAAAAAAACTAACAGTAACACTTTACAATAAGGTCTCAATGGTTAACATTAATGTATTAACTAAAATTAACTAACAGTGAGCAATACATTTGTTGCAGTATTTATTCATCGTTCTTAACAAAAATCTAACTGTTCATTGTTTGTTCAGTGCATTAACTAATGTTAACAAATACAACTTTTGATTTGAATAATGTATTAGTAAATGTTGATATTAACATTGGCTAAGATTAACAAATGCTGTAGAAGTATTGTTCATTCGTAGATATTGTAACTAATGCAGTTAACTAATGTTAATAAAAGAAGCCTTATTGTAATGTAAAGTGTTACCAAACGAACAAAACGTCTTTTTTATTATCATCTTTATGAGGTGCATAGGCTTTTGATGTTTTTTTTGTTTGTTTGTTTTTGGTCGAATTATTCGTTTAATTAGCAGTAATGCAACAGGTTTTTTTTTACGGATCTCACTATTTCTGTGCATGATCAGAAAAGGAATCTCCAAGTTTTTAATGACAGCATGATTGGATCTGCTCCATCTACAATGATCCTTTTGAAATCAGATTCTAAATTAAAATAGCACTGTCACCGGATCTTCATGATGACACTACATTGATTCTAAATGCGAGCGAAACTCAAAGTGGAACAATTCAAATTTTAAACTGGAGTTAGTTTCGAGTTTTGAAAATTGCAGTATGTTTTATTGTAGAGTAACCACTTAAACGTGTAATTATCAAGAAAATTGATTCTCCAGTGCATGACCCCTTTAGCAACTACTATCAAAACATGTTCAGCTTACATGAAGGAACAACCGCAGGCAGCAATCATGTTGAACACGGGGAAGGTGTAGATGATAAAGCGGAGCTCCTTGTGGGGCAGAAGAGAGTACAGCAGAATGAAGCCTACGGTTACGACGAGCAGTTTTCTTGTCCGTCTGTCCAATAGGCCGAGTGGGATAAAAAGTATTGTGCTACCGAGAGCTCGAGGGAGAGCAGAGTAAAAGTACCACAGAAAAGGGAAGGTTTGAGGCACAGAAGAAGTCAAGGAAAGATAAAACATTTTAACAGGAGACAAGAAACATTTTTTTTGTGAAATATTACCCTAGTGAAAAAGACCTATACCAAAAAGCATTTGTTTCATACTAAGTATACTACAAATCTATTAACATATTTACTGACATATCGCTTGAGACTTACTGATATAAATTTTGTAATTAAACTTTATTTGGAGTACTTATTTATTGCACAATGCACATTTATTAATATTAAGCCTAAAATGTGTTTAATGTCACTATTAGTAAGGATAGTATGATCTCTTGTATAATATCAGTCTTTAAATGCAAGATATTTAACGTGTACCTAAAGCATAGGTTCTCAAAGTGCGGCCCGCGGGCCAATGGCGGCCCGCCGAAACATTTCTGGCGGCCCGCGATAACATCTGTAAAACTGTTCAAACTATTGCTTTGAAAAAATGAATATCTCCGTTTAGTGGTGTTTAGCGGCATCCATAGGCATAAGCGGTAATTACATGGTCCGACCGACCGATCGCACTTGACCTCACTCCCAAGGCCACCAGGAACAGTGGTTGTCTACACAGGAATAGGAATCGTGGCCAACCGAAACCAGCACCACAAATCCCATTGCAATTTAAAAGGGTATGTTGACCAAGTAATCAATATTCAATGTGACTTAATAATAATCTTAACAATGTCAAGCTTATTAATAGCCGCGTTTCCATTACCTTTCAAAATGTTCGCGGGCGCGAACACTTGCATTTTCCTATTAACAGTGGAAACAACTTAAACTAGTCTATCATTTCTGGTCATACAGAAAATAATAATGCATTATTCGCAACTACTTTTATTTGTGTAAACTCATAACAAGAAAACGTGCTTTTGTAAAATAAAATAAAACAATCAGTAGGCTACTACGCGCTTTCATGATCTCCGTGAACTGGAGCGCGAGAACTGAAACAAAATATAGCCTATGTAGGCTAAAGCTTAAAATGTGCACTTTTAAACAAACAAACTCGAATCGAAAGCAAATACCTGATTATGTAATCCGTATGAAAGGTGGCTTTCTCTCTAAAAGCGCATCTGCTTAACCTGTTAACTGTCACCCCCCTTTTTTTTGCATAGACATAAAAATCACTATCCAAACTTAAATGGTTGTAATTCAGGAATGCTTTGGAATATAGACCTATGGCTGGTCTTGTTTTAAAGAAGACATTTTCCAGATTATTGTAGAAGTCCAGAAATTGTAAAAAATGAAACAGAAAAAAAGTTATATAAGTTTGAGTTTATGAAATTGTGTAATGTAAAAATATAATGATTAATATTTTATATAAAATATATATATTACAAAATATATTTTACTCTAAAACTGCAAGAAAAATAAAGTCAAATATCTGAACAAGTTGTATTCCAAATTTTAGGTTGATATCTAAAAAAATGAGCTTTCAGTAAGATTTTATTCGGGCGCAGTACCCAACTTTTTCACTAGGTGAACACCAGAATCCATTACTGCCCATATAAGGGCGCCTCCATTTTCATATGTTTTGAGTGATCTGAACCATGTATTTCCATAATTTTCATACAATTTATGAAGTAGACATCCTATTCAGAAGTAGTAGGGGTGGTTTGGCAGTATTTGATTTGAATTAAACCTCTAATAAATGCATAAAGACTACGTTATAGCGTTATAGCTCGCAGCCGCATTACAAATCGAGAATCCATACATTTTTCTTTATATTTAAAACATTTTCAGACCTTTTTTTCTCATAAAATGGAATTGGTGTTATCTTTTGAACTCATGGCATGAAAACAAACTGAAGTTTCTACCAATCTTTCATGATTTTTCATGTTTATTGTTATTTCAAAATAAAGGCCTAAATACTCCTAATGAATATGAAATATTCTTGTTGCAAATTGATACATTTCTGCTCCTCTGTAATATATTTTAGATAACAGCCACCAAATATGAAAACTAGAGATTTTAAGCTTTCAAATGATATATAGTTTGGCAATATTACTTTAGGTTTTTACTAAGATATTATTGTTTTAAACATGCGGAGATGGAGATATGTTTTTAGCCGACACTTAGAAAACAATAGTTTATTAATAAACAATTAAAATGCCTCGCTGTTTTTTCAGACGCATTTATTATCATTAGCCTATAACTCACCTATAAATCAGGCTAGATCAGACACGTACAGGCTATATGGCTCTTCTCATTCATCACTGCGGGAAAAATATAAATTCCTGGTTCTAATTTGGCCTTAGAAAACCAGTAAAATCGACATGTTTTCCATATTAATTTGTGAATATTTAAAATGTTTAATAAAGGGGCAAAAAGTCATTTAAACAAAAATCTGAAAAAGTCTGTCGATATTTACTTTTTTTGCGCAGCAGTTGGTGAAGCCAGTTCAAATTAAAATTTTGTTCAACTTTGCGTTTTAAAAAGACAACAACCGTTCATTTTTCGTTTTTCAGTTACGGGTTAAAAAAGATAGATAATAATATGCAAATCTGCAATAATGGAAACGCAACTGACAAGCAATGATAGATATGAATGATGATGATGACTTGTTTGGTAAGCTTCTATTTTAAAAGTTTCTTTCTCTCCCCCCCAAAATGTTCACAAGTTTTGCCAGGTTTAGCCTCAGTTATGAATTAAAATGTGTTTATTGCAACTAATGTAAACTGTAGAGATGCAACCTGGTCATTAAAATAATTTCAAATGGGATTTTCTTTTCAGTTTTTTTTTTCTTCGTTTTCTCCCCCGCCACTTTGGCGGCCCTCAGTTCAATGTTGGGTTCCTAAATTGGCCCTCACCTATCAAAACTTTGAGAACCCCTGACCTAAAGTATACTTGCAATAGTTCCACTTTAGCACAAACAAATATACTTAAGTATATCTTTAGTTGGACCTCAGTGCTATTTCTGGTTAACTAAAGTGCATTAAGTACAAAATTAGTTGTTCTAATTTAGCAGACTTTAAGTATACCAATTTAGTATACCAAAAGTACAATTGCAAGGTATTTATATTAAGTACATGAATATGTAAATGTATTTATAGTATACTTAGCATTAAATAAATGTATTTCAAATGCATTTTAGTATATTTCTTTTTCACTAGGGAAGGCCCAAAAATGAACATTCTGGGTAAATGGTGACAATCTCACGTTACTCCATGCTGCAGTTTGCAAAAGGATATTCCCCAGTTGGAGCTTTTATTCATAACTGTGTTGTACCACAGTACCTGACCCTCAGGCCAGAGCAGCTTATTCCAGAAAACTGTGTCAACCATGACAGTGAGACCTACAAAAGAAAGCAAACACACTTTAATCTGTGTCCACATTTGCTGAGAAATACAACATCCTGAACACAGAAAAATCTAAATTTAGTGTATTAGGCTACTAAAAAGTAGACAAAATATTGATAGAATGAACAGGATTTATGCATCACTGACCCAAAGATAAAACACCAGCAGGTATGGCATGGTAAAGCAGCTGCAGGAAATGGAGTTTCCTGCTCAGAAGTGACATCAACAACATCGGGCCAAAGAGTAGACACAATTCAGAGCGGAACACGATGATGGCCACAGCAGAGAGCCAAATGAAGGAACCGTGTCTCTGGGCCAGCCAAGATGTGAACGCCAGCAGAACTATTCAATTAAACACAATTTGAAGAAACTTTGGTATGCTTAAAGTGCAGAATAATGCACACATATTAATAGAAAAGGATGTTACAAAGCCATTTTTATGAATATGATTCTTATGTTGTGTTGTTTTAGCCACATACTGCAAAGGTTTGGGATTGACAACCACATTTCTAGAGTGAAGAATATAAACATTCCGATTTAGATGACTATATAAGCAGTGCTCATTATCGCAACACATTAATTGATAAGCTCAGTCGATTACCTTAAACGGAAAGTTCACCCAAAAAATGAAAATTAGCCCATGATTTACTCACCCAAAAGTCATCCTAGGTGTAAATGACTCCTATATAAAAAAATGTACTGGCTCTTCCAAGGTTTATAATGGCAGTTTCTTTTTTTAAGTCCATAAAAATGCATCTATCCATCATAAAAGTGCATCTATCCATCATAAAAGTGCATCTATCCATCATAAAAGTGCATCTATCCATCATGAAAGTGCTCCACACGGCTTCTGTGGGTTAATAAAGGCCTTCTGAAGTAAAGCAACGTGTTTGTGTGAGTAAAATATTAATATTTACCATGTTACAAAGTAAAATTCTAGCTTCCGGACATATTTATAGGGCCTGTCCCAATACCTCCCCTTCCCCTAGATTTTTGCCCTAACCCTCGTTTTTACGTGTTCATGTGTAGGGTGTCCCAAAACTTTAGGGAGCAAGGGGGAGTGCTATTCTTCCCTTAAAACCAACCCTCAAAACATAGTGAGGTCCGATGCAGGCTTAAAACGAAGTGGGAGATGAAATTACCCAGGATACTTTACGAACTCAGCAAGCCGGACAAATTTTTCAATCAATATGGCGGACACCGCTGGAAAGGAAGAATTGAATTGTACTTATATTGTCGCAAATAAGCATGTTAAAATTTCTAAATATGTTAGTTTGATGCACATCCAATGTACTGTTGAGTTTTGAACACTAATGTTAGAAAATATTTCACGAAGCTATCTGACGATGTTCATGATATCTGCCGAGTGCTTCGAGCCCATCAAATGAGAGTTAATAGTTGGGAGAAAATATGTGTATTATTAGATCTGCATTCGGTCTTGAAGTAGCAGCGTCTAATAAACCTGCTGATGATTGCATCATGTGAATAAAACAACTAAAAGTCAAAGAGAAAATTACTCGCAGCTATTGAATGAATAACTTTAGCTTTAATAATCATTAATATATCTATAATAAACTATGCTGTGTTATTTTAGATTTGATTACTTTATTAGATTTCTAGCATTATTATTATGGGTACTTATATCCTGATCATAACCGGCATTTTCCAGAATGAAAATAGTAGTAGGCTACTACCGGTAGACACGTCGACGCTGCGCGTCATAAGACGTAGGTGAGCACGTTCGCTACGCTAATTTGCACATAGTGGTGTCCCATTTCATAGGGAAAGATCTTCACCCCCACTTCCCTCGTCGAGGGGACTTTACTGTCGAGGGCACTCAAAACCAAGTGGAAGTTTTAAGGGAGGAGAAATGGGACAGGGGCAGGGCCATAGTCTACTTACACCTAAAGCACAACTTATGACGTCAGAAGTAGCGTAGTGCGTCATGGCGTGGCGTAAGTATCAGCAGTAAGTTGCATTACTCGCATAAGTTGCGCTTAGACGTAAGTGAATCCATATGTTTGTTTGGCAGGAAGCTAGTTATTTTACTTTATAAAGTTTTAAATATAGATATTTGTCTTACACAAACTCATCGCTTCACTTCAGAAGGCCTTTATTAACCCGCCCAGAGCCGTATGGAGCACTTTTATGATGGATAGATGCACTTTTAGGATGGATAGATGCACTTTTAGGATGGATAGATGCACTTTTAGGATGGATAGATGCACTTTTATGGACTTCAAAAAAGAAACAGCCATTCACTGCCATTATAAAGCTTGGAAGAGCCAGGACATTTTTTAATATAACTCTGATTGTATTCGTCTGAAAGAAGAATGTCATATACACCAAGAATGACTTGAGGGTGAGTAAATCATGGGCTCATTTTCATTTTTGGGTGAACTATCCCTTTAACAAACAATTAACTGTCTCTTAATCATAATATAAATATTGTACTCAAAGCCTAACGAAGGACAATGACAATTCACGCAATTAGTAGTAAACACAAATGTGTTATATTAAGTCATGTTGCTTTAGCTTTGTTTTTTAAACAAAAGAATGAAATGGCTCCTAGAAAACTCTAAATATTGCTCAATGATATTGGCCAAACTCTACCTAAGGGCCCTATTTACTGGCTGTGTTGTATACGGGACTGTACCTAAAGGCAAAACGATCACATTTGGGAGGGTTCTGGAACTGTAAAACATCAGATGGAACTGAGTAGCGCAGATGAAGCAGAACAGACTGGCCACCATTGACCCAAACTGCCTCCGGACCTCTCTCTGCATCTGCCATAGTGACAGAATCACACATAGTCCAAGAACTCCTCTCACTGCGGAACAGAGAACAACAAAGTTGATGAAACTGAAACAAAAACAATGTTAAGCTACAAATTGTGATATCAGATATACCTAGGATTTGAGTGTAAAACTTTGGTGCTTGCAGGAGGGCAAGCACATACTTCATTGGTGCACTGAGTGCTGATATGAACAGGGGTCCAAGAAACGTCCGTGGAACCACACCAGGAAACTCATGATGATCATACTGGAGAAACCGTAATAATAACAAAGAATTAATAGAGACTTGATGCACATCCCAATTAACGTACTTATGCACTATTCTACACCATTTTGTAGTATAAATAGAGTGAGTAGTGCATGTAACATCACACCGGGGGAAAAAAGTGTGGAATGTTGTAGTATTGTTTGTATTATATACATGTCCAAATATACTTATTAGACCCACATGAGGAAAGTAGAAAGTTGTGTCATTTTGGACATAACTTTAGTTATGTGGGTCTAATGTTAAACAACACAGAATTGTCAATGTACTAACTTACACTGCAATAGTTCTTTGGACATGTATACAAACTAGTCTCTGGACATGTTCCACTGTAATACCATGATATTTTCTTTTCAAATAACGTACACATTATGGTAGGCTATATGAATATTCAACCCGGAAAAAGCGTCGCTTTTGATATGAGCTTACCTTTTCAAATTCAAATCCGTGATACAGAACATCGTGAATTGCTTGTAAATTAAAACTTTCTTCAACTTTAGTGTAGGGACAGGTAAACAAATGTAGAAATACAACACCGATCATAAAAATTAGAAGACGATGCTCATTCACAGCTTCCTTCCGCGCCATCATAGCGCGTGTATACCGGTGTATACACGTCTTTCGGCGCGTGCGCAAACCTCTGAGCTTAGAAATGAGTGGGTAGAATAGAATTTTGACAATAAAGTTCTGAAATGGGCGGGGCTTAGCAGACCGAAAGTTTTCTGTGATTGATCCGGTATGTTGGATCTAAATATATATTTAACTCTTTGTTTTTGTATTCAATTCAGTGCATTTTAAGGTTAGACAATTTCATTAGTCAGATGTAAATAGAGTGAAAATCCCGAAAGACTAATTTGCCTGTGGTTCCCTCGAGATTTTAATATGGGTTTTTTTTCTTCTTCTTTTTTCAATTTATGAGTAAAATAAGGTCTGTGGGGTCTGTGGTAAGCATAAGTTGATGGTAATTGTAGTTTTGTTCACACACCCATATAGAAAACGCAATTTTTGAAGCTGTTACCTATATTAAAATATAATATTTATTAAAAACAATAATATTGTTTCTAGGAAGTAAAATGTTTGAAGTGTGAGTGTGTGTTTTGCAGCGTTGAGCAATTTAGCCAATCACAGACAACAGGTCTGTTGATTTCTTGAATCAATGGCGAATCAGAGGTGGTTAAATTATAAACCAAAGCGGAGTTTTTGTCCAATAGCTTGTTTGCACATGACGTCTCTGCTGATTTTCTACATAGGAAGCACTATCTTTTTTATTATAATTAAATGTAAATCACATTGCAAATAATAAACATGGCAATAGTCTAACACATAGTATAAAAACAAAATAAATTGAACAAATATAGACAACAACAAATAGGCTAGTAAAATATACAGTATGATAGGCCTATATAAAATAATAAAACAAGTAAAAAAAAGGGGGGGGGGGGGTGGGTGGGGGGATAATATAAAGAGAAAAGGGAACAGGTATGAGATCATCATATAAATTGCATAAAAGTGCGTTTTGCTTTACTATTTTTCTACCCAAGTAGTAACTCAATATAATTTTTCATATCTATCTAAAATAACAAAAAGTTGTTTTTTCCTTTAGCCCATTTTTGTTTATGCATATGGTATTTCCCCATAATCAAACCAAGATTAACAATAAAGGCCACATTTGGTGGTAATCTTTGTCTATTAAAATAAATAAAATACTTATTTTTCAGAAAAGTAAACTTTCATGCCTATACACATTTACAAGAGGAACATTAGCTATAAATGCAATTAAAAAATAAGAGGACAACATTTTCTAGCTCAGTCCCACAGAAATCACATTTAACATCTACGTCAGTACGAAACCTAAGAAAACATATGCACTATCACAAACTCAAAATGCCTATGTTTTGTGTCTTTTATGGTTGTTCGAATCGATCAAACTGAGAAAACACAAGGAGCTTTTATCGTTTACGTAACTTTTATCGTTTTTTAACTTTAAAAGTTGTTGCCTTTAATGGCATTTTGCGTCTGCTGATACTGAAATTAATATGGATACCTGCTATACCTTATTTTTTGTTTTTGACTTGATGAAATATTCACATTCTTCGTGGCATCGTTTGCAGGGAAGATAAGCTACTTTATCCCAAGTTCGTTTGGGATCATTCTTTATTGAAATAAATCAGTTTAAATTCATCATTATAACCATATGCCACCAACAATAAAATAACTCATGGATACATTTTTCAAGAAATTTAAAGTCATATTCACTTACATTCAAAATGTCCCTCTGCTGGAGTAATTTAAGAAAAGCGAAGATTATATATCATTGATTGCATGACATCTGAAAAGTATTTTAATTGAAAAGCCATAATGCATGACTTTAACTTTCTTTTTCTTATAGATTTCTCGACATATTGTAAACAATGCGGAAATTTCTACCATTATCAAGAATGGGCTGATGGGCTGCACAGTTTTGATGACCATGTAATATTAACACTGCACCTCTGCACCTACCTTTTTTTTTGCAAAGCTCACATGTTATTTTTGATTGATATTATTTTTGTTTTCAATCATGTACCTTTCATGGTTTCCTATAATAAAATAAACCTCATTTGACTGGATTTGACTTTTCTTGAATTGGAACCATTCTCTTTTATTTCATTTGAATTGCTTATATTGTTATATTATTGTGGCAGCAACATTTAACTGAATCTTTAGTCACTCTGTTTTGCACATATTGTAAGGATAGTGAATCAAACTAAATAGTGAAATTTTAAAATGTGATAATGTGTTTACCCTGAATCACACTGCAGTTGATTCGAGCATTGGATATAATGGAGCAAAACAAACCAGAGGAAATATCCAAACCATGACACTGTTCTTCATGGCTATCTATCTTCACTTTGAGGCATTGACAGCACTGAAGGAGGTTAAGGATCCTCCTTCAGACTTTGATGGCCAAGTTTGAAAAAGTTCTTTGTGAAAACTGAGTAAAGGTTTTCTCCATGTTCTGTTTTCAGTTTATATTGTGTAATTTGTGTATTTATAGACATGAATGTGTCTATTCTGTATGTTTGGGAAAAAAAAATGTATTAATATAATAAACACAAAATCACTTTCAACTGTGAGAACTCTCAGCGGCTGTTTTCTTCTTGTTTGTTTTTGATTGTCAACTCTCCGGGCTATGCTGAGAATCCATTGGTTGTGTCACCCCTGCATATGATATATGGGCTCCACGGATTGGTCCCCAAACCAGAGCCAAAAAATTGGTGTTTAACACTGAGTACTCCAAGCTCAGTCTAAAAAACGCTTTTGGAAGAGCAGGCACATATTGACAGAAGAACGACTTTCAAATGAATGAAACTCAATGTGAAGTTGTAAGATGTAACTTTGCTGTGCTTTTCACAATTTCATTGTCACAATGCAAATTGGCCAAACAATTAATAAAAATGAGTGCCTTGGGACTCATTGCTCATATGCAATGAGCAAGACTTCCATCGCTGGCACTTTTGAAATTATTTTATAATGCAAAAACCCATATGTATTCATGGTTTAATTATATGATCTAACATTTCTATAAAAGAGTCTTTCTGATGTTCTAAACTCCGTTCGTCTGCGATTCGCTTCGCTTTATTACGTCGCGTTCAGTGTGAAAGGGCCTTAAGGCTGCTTAAAAGATGTTTTTTGCTTAGTGTTGTTGCTTTTTTTTTTCTCAGGTTGAGGCTTTGAGAAACCTTTTAAAGCAATGTGGCATAGACTCTAAAAGTTGTAAAATGGATCTTCTCTTGAGGGTGTGAGAATGAAAACACAGAGCACTTACGACAAAGTATTTGAGACAATTTGGGGAGAGTCTGGTATTTCATTCTTGATGTGATGAAAATACAGTATATCAAAGTCACCAGCTTTTGAATTTCTTTCCAAACTGGCACCCCTGTTGTTGTTGTTGTTGTTGTTTTTGTGTACAGTATGTACACATCCCTTCTACCAGTCACTATAATTGTGTGTTCTTTTCCTATTTCCAAGTGGTTGGGCCTTGTGGGATTTCCTTGTGGGATTGTGAACTCTGTAAAATTCAACATTAGAGCGAAAAGCCCACGAGATTATGCGGATATGTTGTTGTCATTTAAACATTTCCCAAATGTTGTGCACAGGGATTAGTTACACATACCAACTCACGTGATCCTGAATTAGCTGATGCTACCCGAAAACATCACTGCAAGCAGAGAAGTGAAACTTCATGTCAATTTACCACGGTTAATGTTGAAAAAAGACCCACCTGATGTCAATGGTCATCCTATGCTTTATGTGCTGTATGATACTTCTCATCAGACAAAAGATGAAACGGACAGATTGGACTTGTTCCAGAATTATGTGGATGGCTTAACTTGCAGATTGTAAAGAAGTTGTTTTCTGGCATGCGAAAAAACTATTCTTGAATCTTCCTAATGCCTTGAACTTTACACCACCAACAATGAGCAAATAAATCAGAAGACTTCAAACTAGTTTGTCATGGGGACCTATATTCGATGCAGGCAAGGACATGAGCCTTATCGAAACATCCTATGGTTACTGAAAGAAGATATCTCTTGGCAGGCATGTTCCCCTGGCTTGTCAACACTGTTTAAACACTTATTATTGGTCATGTTCCCCTGACTTGCACTGTTCATCAGACATGCATGTTTGGCAGTCATTTTCCCTGTCGACTTTTCAATACAAGTAATCACTATTTTTCCATCATGATCGGTTGTTGAAAGCAAGGTGTTCAATATATGTTTGTTTTTTCAATTCTAAAAAAGCTCTAAATATGTGTTCAGAATTACTTTGGTTGCATACAGTATTTGACATCTTTTGTGTGATATTGATTTGTAACATTACCAAGGCTGTGGGACACCACCTGACTGGTTCCTGGACCATGGACACAGTATTCTGGGTTGGATCTAAAGCTAACCGTCATTTGCTGAAAATGTTTATGCAATTATAACCATTTTCATTGAACATGTAATTTCACAATACGAAACAGGGGCTTCCTAAACAAGAATATGGCATCGACTAAAATTGGCAACCACCACTAGCTTTCAGTAGCGAAGCTGTGTTATCTATACAACTCACAGGGCAGAGGTTGAAAACAAGTTTCTCCTGAATGTTTCTGTGTTTGCGCAATCTCTTACCATAAAGTTACAGTATACAGGCACGTCTGCTTTATTATACATTAAAAACCCTCGCCTTGTAGCTTGCAATTTCAAGGGGAATCGTATATATGTGTTTAGATGTAGGTCAGATGTTCAGATATCAGATTTCTGATCCTGAAGAGCTTAATTCGCTGGTTCAGGTGTGTTAAGCTGAGTTTACACTGGCACAAAAAAAATCTTTACTTACATCTTTGGAATTTGTTGCACACGTGTAAACACAAAAATCAGCATGATTTTAATCAGATATATCTGATATCTGAACATCTGACCTACATCTAAACACATACATCCGATTCCCCTTGAAATGTATGAATTTATTACACATACATATTGGTCTCTTTTTAAAAAAAATTCAAACATATCAACAGTTACCAAGAGTTTAAAAGGTACAAACATAAAAGTAAAGGTAAG